GGTGAAATGCGGGTGGGTGTGTGTACATGTATATACCCCATTTAAAAACATCCTTAGGGGGAGTTTTTGGGGACTGGAGGGTAGTTTCTCCCAGTTTCCGCAACTCGGCTCTTAAAGCACTGTTTAAATTTCTTTCAAATTGTATGTATACACCCGTGTCTTGAATTTATTGATTTTTATGGGCAATTGCTTTAATTTCAGTGGCCAGCAGGGCTTTAAAACGTCATCAGCGGTGTGCCACCAAACAAAAAGAAACTAGTTTCACGGCGGGGAAAAATGCGCGCGGTCAAAGTCGTCAAGCAACACACAACAAAACAGAAAATATCTCTTTTTTCAGGGAGCGGTCTACCAAAAACTTGAAATTCTTTCGACTTTCTTGCTATTTTCACGAAGAGGTTTCTTATTGGCCGCTAGCACCCTCACAGAATATTGATTTTCTCGATTTCTTTACCCGATTTGACACTTGAAATAAACGGTTTCTAGCCTCGCAGCTGTGGCTTAGCGTTTATCCAGCTTTTCCCAGCACTTTTCCGCGTCTCACTGACTTTACAGCCGCCCACGAGTAGCAAACGCACGCAAGTAAAATAATCAACACTCGAAAAAGGCGCTGAACAACACCATCCACCAGCGCAACAACAACACTGTGTGCGCGAGTATTTACAACTACAGCTACAACACACCAGCAGCATACACCACTCCACACACCTTGTAACTTGTTTGTTGTTGTTTCGCTCGCACATCGGGAGCGAGCAGTGCAGGCGCGAGAGGGAGACAACACCACCTGCTCTGTATACAAATGCAGCTGTGGGTACGATTTTGCTGGCTGCGCGGTTTTCCTATTGCCCGAGTATCGTGAAAAGCTTACGAATCCGAGACTTTGCGCGTTTTTCTTCTATGGAGAAGGATTTTTGATCATTTTAACGCCGAAACAAGAAAAACCTCGGTTACCAGACGGATGGGCAAATTTCTAGCGATGGGCACTTTCTTAGAGACGGGTAAAATACTTAGAGATGTGCTGGCACTTGTATGCTTTTTTCCAGGTCAAAGGAAGATCCGATGTTGAATATTACTTGCCAATTTTGGTATCAATAGTTTGTAATTTAAGTAAATCGCATTCTTATTGGTCTTTATTACAACAAAGAATTGTCATTTTTAAGGTCGTAAATTTATGGTCACATTAATGCGCGCCATTTAAATAATGGAGATTATTTAGTAAATGCAAGCACTACAAACACTAACCAAATACCCAATCCATATAGTTGATTTAGAATTTTTCATAAATGTCTGAAAATTAATTTGTAATGCATATAATGTATGTAGTAAGCAAATAAGTGACTTCCGACGTTGCCAGACGTGTCAACGTGTCATCATCATTCCCACGGTGCATATCGCTCAGTGTTGAATAACGTTTGAACCTTGAACAGCTGTGGGAAAAATCAATTTTGCAACTCCCTCGCGCATTTCTGAAGAAACTTCTCCGCGAGAAAACCACGGATAAAAATGACCAACGGCGACTGCTTTGTTGTTCTGCCCGAGAACTGTGCCGAAGGAACGTTGATCATTGGTCGCAATGCGGAGGACGAAAAAAACGTCAACGTTGCGTCGGAGGTTTGCTTCTACGATGCCACCGAAGTGCTTGAGGGGAAGGTAAAGACAGACTCCTCCGAAAACGAAGCTCGATCAATGACTCACCACCCAAACACCTCGCTTTTCAGACTGACGGTGGAGCTACTGCCGAGACGGGCGGCGATTTGTTGCGTGTAATATTGCAAAAACCGCAGCCGGGTCTCTGGGGTGGAGACTTCGGGGCCAATGAACGCGGAGTGGCCCTAGGTCTCACCTGGGCGGCAGGTGAAAACGAGGCCAAGGACAGCGACAGCCTGCTAGGCACGGATATAGTGCGGTACGTTTCTTTTAAAATGCAATATCTAGGATATACAATTGCAATAGCGTATCAACAAACTATGCACAACTAAATATAATTAACTTTCATCCCTTCCTCTGTATGTATTGAATTGTGTAGAGAAACACATCAAACACATATTATAATCAACTTGTTGGAATTCATAAGGTTATTGCACTTTCTAAACCGGTCCGCAAGCTACATACGAATCAATCTGAAATTTAATGTTGCAGAGAAAACCATACTAATGCTGTTACAATTATTATAAACCATTTAATAATTTAATATTTTTTAGCTTGACTTTGGCTGTGGCCAAGGACGTGGACGAAGTTGTAGACCGGATTGGAGCTTTGGTGGCCAGTCACGGTCACGACAACTCCAAACTGAACTTCATCGCTTGTGATGCAGCTGCTGCCTGGCTTGTGAGCTGCTCTGGCAAGGTATGGGCGGCCGAGAAATTGGAGGCCAGCTTTTTGCGGTTGCCCTCCGGAGGACTGGCTGTGACCACTGTGGTCAACAAGTCAAGCGAGGGATTGGATGAAGCAGCCAGTTTTGCCGCTGCTTACGATGCAGAGGCCCAGGCCCCGGCAGAGGATTGGTGTGGTCCCAAGCCAGCTGGCGATGGAACATACACCCAGCACGATATGTTCGAGACGCTGCGATCTGCCAGTAATGCGAGCAGCTCGAGGGCGGCCACCGTTTCAGTGCTGTCGGCGAAGGGAATCTCGTGCCATTGGTTCACCGGCACACCCAATGCCGCCGAGTCTGTGTTCAAGCCGTTCGTTTTTGCCCCAAAGCCGAGGATCTCGCCTCTAACCCAAGTGCAGGCGGATGCGGACTTGACGTTGCTACACAAGCTACACTCTCAACGCAAGCCGGCCGCCTTGGAGCACTTGCGCAGCTTGGAGCGCTCCTGCGTGGACGAGCTAAATAACTATTTCTCTCTGCAGGATCACGCCAGCGACGAGCTGGACGAACTGCTCAAGGACTGTGTCGAGGCGGAAGTGAAGTTCTATCGCTAGACAAACGAATACTATCTATATGGATACTCCAAAAACTAGCTTGCAAGCTCTATTGAGCATCGGGATTTGACTTGAGCATTCTTATGGCATTACCAAATAGGCTATAGTCGGCAAAATATTTTCTTGTGCAATCTCTACTGATTTTATTTCGTTTAGTTTTATGCTTTTGCGTGATATTTAAATTATTATTTATTCTGTCTCAGTGGGCAATCTCCGACTTGAATTTAAAGTATTATTATGTGACATTCCAGGCTTAGTTTAACGATTTATATACTTGCATTAAAATATATATAAATACATATACAAATATACAGTATATATGGCTCTCAAATAAACGCATAAAATCTGCATTTATACAAAAAGCTGTTTTCGTATTCGAATACTTATTTTAGGACTCATCTTTTTATTTAAAAGTGATTTAGAAGCAAAATTTACAGTTTCTCTCAAATGATAATTTAAATTTAAGAATGACATGAAAGAAAATGATTTTATTTTGCCGCACTCCAAGCATGTATTTACAAAAATAGACTAAGCCTGATCTGATTCATTTAATTCCAATTTCGTCAGAGCTACAAATTATTCAGATACAGCCACAAAATTGCTTTTCACACTATGTGAATTTTTAGACGGATTCTACAACCAAATTGGTCTTAAAAATAGTGCTATCATTGTGCAAGGCCTCTAGTTTTGTAATTTCAAAGGCCTGGTAAATCTCGCGGAAGTCCATAATGTTTCGCGGATCGCTGTCCATCCAAAAGCGGTCAAACTCGAAGAATAAATAGCAGTACAGCTTATGGAAATCCTCTACGGTGCTGAAATCCTGTCTGTGCTGCACCACCAAATTGTAGAAGTGGGTTTTGGCGGCGCCCGTTTTTACTAGATTGAAGGCCATGGAGGTGAGGTTAATGCCCACAATGGCGTAGGTGTAACCCAGGGTGGGATGCATCGAGTGCAGCAGCACATGTTTGGCGGCGTCGTTATAGGCAGTGGCAAAGTAGAGCAAGTTGTCCAGGCCAAGTATGCCCATTCCCCGAAAGTCCGTCTTGGGATCGTCGCCTTGGAAGCCAATGTCCTGCCACTGTTTGGTCACGCGACCGGTGAGAGGAGTCTCTGGCATCAGCAGTTGCCATAATTGCAACAGCTTTTGCTCGTGATCGAGGTTATCCGAGTCGTACTTCTCGGCCCGCAGCTGTTCCACCTGATGCATCAGTCTACGGTAGCCCCAAATACTTGTCACGCATTTGCCGAAGAGCCGGGCAAAATCTGGGTGCACATTGTTTTTGATGCGTTTCGCCTGCATCACAATGCGTGCAGCGCGAGGAGCTGGAAGTTTATAGTAGGTTATGATTATAAATATTTAACTAGGCGAAAACTGGTAGCAAATATGGTGCTTGAACTAACCGAATTCCAGAAGCTCCGCGTCGTTCACGTAAGGCGCCGCCTCATCAAGGTCAAGTACAAGTCGTCGTATTTGTGGTCTTTTGGACAACGAGAGGGATTTTTCAACCTGGCTAGTCCGACTGGCTCCCGCCCTCGCCCCATAGCAAATTCTCTGGAGCTCCGAGAGCCTGGTGAAGACGTGCAGGAACCACTTTATAAACGGTCTTATATAGCTAAAAATAAAAGGCAGTATTCGGTCGAGAATAAACATTTTACTACAGCGGTAATGATAACTATTCAGATATCCCGATTTCGTTTGTTTGGGCCCGGTTGCCAGGGCAACACATTAGAATTGGCTTTTGATCACAGCCTTAGGTTTCTATCTACTATATTCCAGTTTTGAGAGTTGTCTTTAGATAGCTTTTATGATTGACTCGCAACAATAACAAAACCAATGTATTATTAAAAAAAAAACAAGCAGCTGATCGGACAGTGTTGTACAGAGCGGAAAAGTAGAGGGCATTTAGGTATTCTTAATAATTTTTTAAAGCTTGCATTGCTTTTCAAAGACATTTTAATAGTGCTTAGTGCTCTTATCGTAATGTATAAAGTTATATCCCAAATAAAAATGATTCGTTATGAAATAAAAAATACATTTTTGAAAAGGAAGGAGTCCCCCTTACATGTTTCAGCATATTTGACCTAATACACTGTTCAATAAACGGCCACACTGCTGTTATTATCCTAATTGCTTACTTAGAAATTTAAAAGTGTAGGGAAACTTTATGTACTTATATTTATATTCATACTACTTCAAACTCCAATTACGTTCCTTACCTCGGTATTGATCATTTTTCTGTCCAGCTTAAATAAAAGTGGTCGTAGTTTGTAACTAGATGAAGTAACTAGTTACACATTTGTACTTTACCATAGAAAACATGAAGCGAGGTGCAGTGGTGAAGGAATCAAATTTAAAAACATTGCCCCCTGAGACGGTAAAAAATGAGATCTCCAATCCCAGTACCGAGGAGAAAATAAAGATCTTGAATGATAAAATGGATATGGTTCTTTATAACCAAAGGAAAATGCTGTTGGTTCTGCGGTAAATTTAAAATGTGTGCCTAACTATTCTGGTATTGTTAAAATTTGACCTGTTTTTCCAGTCAACTGACGACGGCTCAGCCAACCGATTCTCCAGGACCCGAAATATTTTCCGTCAGTGGCATACGGCACATAATGAATCCTGAATTGGGAGTATGGTCACCTCAAGAATTTCCACTTACGGAACTGGGACAAATAGAGACGATGGAGGAGGAAATGAATGATCCAATCAAATTATCGTTTTATGTAAATATTCATAATCCTCTAATATATCCTTTATTAGGGGTTTTCTATTACCAAGATCCAAACCATGCGAAACATTTTAAAACCCGGCGGGTCACCACGTCCTGGAGGCCTCAAAAAACAATTTCATCTTATACTCGCCATAGACTTTTTGGTTGATTTCAATTTTGATGGCATCCACAATAAAATACCTCTGAAGAAGTTTGGAAATTTCAACAACGCTTTGTTTGGTAAAATCTTTATAGAGCACGCATCCCACTCTTTTTAAAAATTAAAATTTTTTAAATTGCAGCAGTTCAAAAGCAGGAAGGTTATTTTAGAGATGACTACGTCGCTGAAATCAGACTGGCGTTCCGGGTTTACAAAAATCGCAGACATAAAAGTGTTTCAGATGCGCGGAAAAGAATAAAAGAAGCCAAGGCCCATATTAAGCCCGATGTAAAATTTGAAGAGTTTTTGTATCCAGATTCCAATTAGATTATTTTTGTGTATTGAGTATTTTTACAAAAGAATTTATAGTTAAAGGGTTGTGTGTAAGTAAACCAAATTGTAAATAAAGTCAATTTTTGTTAATTCAGCTTACAGCTTAATGTAACGATTGTACAACTCAGACTAAATGGGCGTGCATATCTCTGATTAAGTTGCCCTATTAAGTTCGTTTCGTTGACGGTATCATCCAAAAACTCGCGTGCCCATGCGATTAGATTTAGATTTAAAGCTTCCATTTGAAATATACATACATATGTACACGTCGATGTTGCCTAGTCGTAAACCTATATCGCTCAGTTAGAGACCACCACTGGACGCGATTGCTTCAATACTTTGCGGCTAGCTAGCTGACCGATAGTCTTATCGAGAAAATGCGGAGGGAAAATGGAAGACTCTGGGGAACCCTACACGAAGGTGAGTGCCTTGCATAAAAAATACTTCACCCACCAATTCCATTTATAAATTTCTTACCTCTCCAGGTAAATTTGAGGTTCGCAGTGTCACACAATCTGACCTGGAAGAGGCGCTAGATGTGAGTATAATTCCATGGGACAATTTTGACTATCGGCCATAAAAAAGTTGTTTCTCGGATTAAGACGATCAAGACTAAGCTTAAAGTTCGCTCCGTTGCTATTGTTCGTGGAGAGCGAAATGTAGCATTAGCTTTGCTGAAGCAGGAAACGAATTTTGTGTCTCTGCTCCAACGTGGCGTCGGTGGTGTAATGGTTAGCATAGTTGCCTTCCAAGCAGTTGACCCGGGTTCGATTCCCGGCCGACGCAGTTCGCTTTTTGCATTTTTTTTCTTTGTTTCCTAGCGGAGCAAAATACAAGTGGTATTTTGTAGGTTTTCAGCAGGTTATTTTTTTTAACAAGTAAAATATGATTTTGTGAACTGTCGTATCAGAATAGGACAGGACTAGGATACACAACATTCATTAACGGTTTTTATGAATAAAATGCAAGTTCCGAGGTTTCAATTTTGATGGCAAATTTACTATTTCATTGGTTTTTTAAATTTGTAAATTTTTCAGGTGCTTGAGGGCTCATTTTTTCTTAATGAATCGGTGTGCATTGCCTGTGAAATTAATTTGCCGGAAAATCGTCAAGCCCGTTTGGATTTGCGGGAGTTGTGCAGAAAAACCGCTCTGGATGGTGTTTCTTTGTTAGTTAAAGAGGCGGATACTGGTCGTGTTGTGTCAGTGTCGTTTAACAAAATTCAGGTAAAATGCGAATTTTATTTAAACAATATTAATCCTAACGGATCGAAAACACAGTTCGCACCACCACCTGGAGAGGATCACTTCTTTCTTAAATTCCGGAATGAGGACGTTCAAAGTCCTCAGGCAAGGCGTCTAATGGACTTTATGATCGAAGTTGATGAAAGAATTGATGTATGTGCCATGTTCAACATGGTTTGCTTCTGTGAACTGATGTTTCTGGCCACTTTACCGAGCCACGAGCGATTGGGTTTGGGACGCTCGTTGTCCCAGTTCACAATTGAACTGACCAAGGAGCTGGCTGTTGGAAAGGGCCTGGAGGATATCGATGAAAAGTTGAGGTCAAAACGCCCAGCTGCTGTCACCGCACTCTGGACCTCCAGTTTCTCTCAAAAAGTTGGAAAAGCAACAGACTTTAAAGTAATTAACACGGTTTCTTATTCGGAGTTTATGTACAATGGAAAGAGATTTGACGAACGAATCAATCCTATACACAAGTTTTGCGAACATGTGATCTACAAATTTTAAAATAAAAAAATAAATCTGTATAAAAAATTTGAGTGTGCGTCGGCCGGGAATCGAACCCGGGTCAACTGCTTGGAAGGCAACTATGCTAACCATTACACCACCGACGCCATGTGATGCTGGTGAGTCGTTTTCTTACTTTTGCGGTGGAGAGCCAATACGTTATATCTCGTTTGATATTTAGTATTTCTAATCGATAGTAGTTGCTATCAGTATGCGGTCACACTCACAATTTCAGTTAAATTTGAATTGCTTAGAGGGAAACTAAGCAAAGATAGAGAATGGAAAATAATAAATATTATAACTTAAACTTAAAGCTAATTATATATTATATGTTGATCATTACCCAGTTTGATGATGTCTGGCTTAAAATGCATTGTATGTAATCGTTAGGTTGCGATCGTCTCTTAAAGTTTACGCAAAGACACTAGAATAATAAGATGCGTAACGGCCATACATTGGTTTTGCACTATGCAACCACTTTTTTTGTGGCGGCAGTAATTGTTCTCTTCCCGCTCGCATAAAAATCTAAAAATAGAATTCACTTGCTTGTGTGAGTGAAAACAGTAAAAAAAAAAATTGTGCTAGAATACGATTTTCGGTCCGAAATCAATTTTGATCTAAGAAACGAATTTGATTAATGTTTTGGTCAATTTCGTTGTAATACGAGCTAAATATTATTTAAAAATTGATGCCGTGACTATTAATTTTTTTTAAGAAGTTGTTTTAATATTCTTTAGTTAAAATCGCCGCTCGAATTAGCTACCGTTTACATATAAATATTTTTATTATTAATTATCTGTAATATATGTATTTTTTGGTACCCAGGGAACACCACGGGGAGGCCATGACAATTGTAATGGATTCGTATATTTATATGACCTTCGAGTCGACTTGAAATAATAAATGTTAAACATAAAATATTTCCATGTTTATGTATGTATGTATGTATGTATGTATGTATGTACGTATGTATGTATGTATGTATGTATGTATGTAGTGTATGTGTATGTGTTACTTGCACAAAGTAGTAAAAATTGTCTTATTTAAAGCCTGAAGAATGTTTAACTTACTGTCGGAACACATAGTTATTGCCGCTTTTAATATTTGCTTAGGAAAAATATTTTCTTGTAGCCCTATAATTCCCAACTGGTTCTAGCGAGGACTGTAAGGCATGTCTTCTAATTTAGAGTCGCAAAATAGTTCAAGTCATCTCTCTTACCGGACGAGCAGTGAATGTAGTGTATGTGTAGTGTATGTACTGGTGTATGTATGCATGTATGCATCTATGTATGTATGCATGTATGTATGTATGTATGTATGTATGTATGTATGTATGTATGTATGTATGTATGTATGTATGTATGTATGTATGTATGTATGTATGTATGTATGTATGTATGTATGTATGTATGTATGTATGTATGTATGTATGTATGTATGTATGTATGTATGCATGTATGTATGTATGTATGTATGTATGTATGTATGTATGCATGTATGCACGTATGTGTGTTACTTAAGTGTGATTACTTGCAAGATCAAATTGGGATCCCTCTGGAACAAATAACCAGGTAAATGTTATTCATACAAGTGTTTGAAATGTTATAATATTTATTTTAAAATATTTATTCATAAAAAATATTTATTCATACAAAATATTTAAAATACAATATAAAATTATTGTAAAGAAATTGAAATTGAATTGAAATACACTGAAAGGGATATATATTTTCATGTTTATTCGTATACAAAGAGCTACTAAATTAATCTCGAGCTGTAAGTAATTAAATAATAAACTCTTATTTTGTCATAATTATATTGAAATAGTGAGGTCTTTAAAGTGAGTAGTAAAAATTGTCTTAAATAAAGCCTATAAAATGCCTGAAACGTATTTGAAACGCATTGGCACAATGGCAACGTATGAATCAAACGTATGAATCAAAATCTGTCCTGTTTTTTCATCCTTTTTTGAAATTTTTAGCCTATTTTTTCCGTTTTTTTTTTTCTCAATCTGTCCTTTTTTCTTCAGAAAAATATTGGCATCACTGATGCGTACAAGAGAGCTGCTGGCTCTAGAGCGCTCTCTCTCTGGCTCTTGAACAAAAATTCGAGAGAGCCTGGAGCCATCTCGAAAAAATCGTGTGCAAAAAAATCGCATGGCGTTACGCATCTTATTATTCTAGTGTCTTTGGTTTACGCGTAAAATGTTGTACATTATTTAACAAGAAAGTCATCAGCGAAAGACACAGTAGGTTGCGATCGTCTCTTAAAGTTAATTAAACTGTAATTTGTTAATACAAGCAATAATACTTGTATTAACATATACGTTGATAATCCATGCGATTCTTCAAATGCTGCAAATCGTAACTGTTCGTTACCTTGATTTACTAAATCTTCGTTACGAATATATTCTACGCTACGAAAATTGCAATTTTCCACATTATAAGGGGAATATATACATATATGGTATTTAGATATACATGAATTAAACAGCAAGCTGGTTTAGAAATAGAACATATCAGCAGTCCGAATAATTTAAACTAAAATCGGGCTATATAAATAAACGCATACATTTCGATAAAGCAATTGGCGTTGGTCTTACTTTGAAATTCTGGCGATGAAGGACTGCTTCGGTATTTTCGATGGGGAATTTGAGGTCCTCCGTGTGACTTCACAGTTTTATGATGAAGTTGAGGAGGTATGCATCCGTTAAGAACTAAACATTTACACTAATTACGTTGTCGCAGTTGCTTGTAAATATATCGGTCAACCATGAATTCGGGTGTGTGATCACTAACCTGAAAGACTCTCCGTTGGCCATTGCCGAGCTAAGTGATCGGATAAGGCGCATCATTTCCCAAGGAATTTCATACGCTATACGTCATGTGGAAAGTGGCAGAATTGTGGCTGCAATCGCTAATACCATATTTGTAGGTATCTATTCTACATTTGGCTTTAATCATTTATTTTTTATTAGTGCACCCAAACAGAACACAAAAAGGAAATCCTCATACTACGACGCTGGCACCCAAATAAAGAGTCCAAATATGATGAAATATATTGAACTTTGGGATGCTGTCGACGAAAGCTTCGATGTCAACAAGCACTGCCAGGTGGACAGCACGGTAGATGTGGAATACATGGGAACATTGCCGGAATTCAGACGACGTGGCCTGGGCCAAATTTTATGCCAGCAGTCGATGGACTTTTTAAGGCTCATGACCCATGGGAAGCTGCCCCTCGAGGTTCTCGCTCAGCTGCCGGAGGAGATTCAGATTGAAAGACCGCAGGCCGTTGTCGCCATATCTACATCCCAATCCTCGCAAATAATAGGCCGACAATTGGGAATGGAAACTATACATAGGTGGCGTTTTTCCGAGCTGTGGTCTTTAAGTGGTGCAATAGCGGAATTCAGTGGCGAACGGGCCTTGGCATATGCAGAACTCCAAGTAAGGTTACTTGATTAATAGAAACCTAAAGCGCAAGCCGAACGAATTCTTCTAAATTACTAAGTAAAGGAAGATAATTACGAAAAAACAAATAATTGATTAGGGGGGAACAGTTTTTTATTCATTTAGTTAATAACGACAGTTCGAACATAATTTTTATATTATTGAAAACTAAATTAAACCCAGTAATAATTCCTGGTATATTATTGAAAACTAAATTAAGAACCAGTAATAATTCCGGGTTAATTTACTGCACTCAAATGTACAAAAGAAACAGTTCACAATAATTAAGAGAATAATTTAATTTGTTAAGCTAAATTGGTTATAAATTAGGTATATTTTACTGTGCTAGCCCCAGAATAAAGGACTGCATCAGCATTTTAGACGACGAGTTCCACCTTCTACGAGTAACTCCGCGCATTTAAGATAAATAATTTTTATAATAAATTTTGAATTAATACAGGTATTGACTAATTTATCAAGGAGTGCAGTATTCTTATCGATCGGCAAACTGTAGGATTCGCCAGAGCTGATCAAATAACTCCGAACTTTAATTCCTGCGGAATTTCGTTTGTCTTTCGAGAAGTCGCAAGTGGAAAATTGCCGAGGGCTTATCCTTACTGGTACTTTTAACTGTCATATCATGTATATGGATAGATCATAAGTCCCAGGGTAGACATAATATCGCTATCACATGTGAGATATGCAAGGATATGGAAAATCAGAGTTGAGACCCTGGGTAGAAACTAACCAATGTTATGTGGTAACGACGACGAAGCTTTTAATTATGCAGGGCTTCAACTAATAACGTAATATATTACAATATAGATCTCCAGTTTATCGAGAAAAAGTTAGTGATAGGAAATTGTGAATTAAAAATACACTTGTTCCTCAAAGGCTTTAGGAATCTCAATCGCACAAGGGCTATTTTTGAGCTGTATTTCAGTTGTGTCACTGGATTAAAAATCCGTTTCAGCCCACATGGGTTGTTAAAAATATAATTGAATAACTTTTCAGGACGTTTCAAAAGTTTTAATCCTTGCAGAATCCACTCAGCGCTCAACGCACCCCTTTCCAAATGTCTATCCTCATTGCTGATGTCAATTTTTGCACTTTCGAAAAAACTTTTCAAATGAGATTAAAATTTACACAATTCAGGACTCGGCGAGGCATGCACTAGAAGGGATTTCCCGGCGTCTCCCTAATGCCCGGTGTCAATACAGCGGATGGACTTGGACTGCAGGGCAGATTTGCTGTGTGAGCAGTGTGATAAGCATTTCGATCCTACTTTGGCCTCACCTCAACAATGCGCTGGGGTTTTTAATTAGAATTCGAATAACAAAAAATGGAAAGTACCTCGCCAGAAGAACAGGGGAGAGGCCAAGGGCAAATACCCTTGCGGCAGGGCAATTGCGTGTAATGATATCGCAGATCGCACAGGATATACATATATGTCTATAGGGTTGGCAGCCAAAGAGGCGGTTACGCTTGATTGTGTTATATGACGTGTGCATAATTCGCCGAGTGCCGACCAGTTCGGCTAATTTCAGTTGGTTTTTAAATTACAGAGAGTATGTTTAATAATAACATAGAACCTGCTATAGCAAAGGATTCGAAAAATGGAATAACTAATTCTAAAAACGATCAATACCTAGATATTCAATTAAAAGGCTAATTAAACACTGCTTCTCTTTCATTATATGAGAAATTTTAACCAATAAATAATGTTTTTTATGTTTTGATCGTTTTGACGTTTACAAGTTGGAAATATGAAACTCCGTCTTCGGACTACTGCTATTTTGTTAATTTTCGTTTTTTTTATATCTTCTATATTTTCTCTCACCCTACTGTGCGGTAATTTTGACTTGCGGCAATCAGTGTACGGCGGGCTATTTGTATTTTTATGTGGGACACATTGTTGTTACCAAAATAATTGGTAAATTAATGCTTTTACAAAGATTTAACGATTGGAATAGCGATATGTAGGCGATAATTTAACTATCGTGGCCTATAATCTCCCGTAGAAACCTCAAAGCTTTCAGCCCACAAATGGCCACTGCGAAACAACTTGATAAAATTGAAAACTAATTTGTTTATACAGCTGCACAAAACGAGCAGCGCCGGCAACGATAACAACGCTGAAACAAAGAGGAAGGATTGGGGGTAGGAGGCAGGCTCCTGGCGCAGGCAAAACAATTTGTTTATCATGGTAGCCTTAGTGAGGTTGTCTGATGATGAGGCAACACACAGGACAGGCGCAGGAAAAAGGACAACAAACAAACAGAGTTCCGCCGAGAAGCAGGACGAGGATGAGCACGGCAACGCGTTGGGGGATGGCGGCATACTCGGGCCAGCATACACACAGAAAAAATAAATTCAAAGGTTTGCTGAGCCGCACAGCTACAAATATTCGCACTTTTTCATAATACAATTCAGTTAAAAAATGTTTGTTCAAAATAATTGCGTATAATAGGGAAATCGTCTCAAAAACCGTTCAAAGCTAGAGACAACGCTTTGCTCGATTGCCGCGACTATCAGATACCAATTACTCAGATACTCAATTAATAATACTCAATGATACTCAATGGAATGGCCATATTTCGAAACAAACATGAGACGTTCTACTCTCTAGCTTTTTTAGTTCCCGAGTTGATTCGGACGGACAGAGAGACGTACATAGCCAGACCACCACGGCTAAGATCCTGATCAAGAATAGTTGATGGAGACTCCCTATAATTTGTAACACCAAATATGGACGACCACAAGATAATAATAATAAAAATGCCATATAATTTTAATAATATTTTGGTGCCAATTGGTTTATATTTTTTTCGTCGAGTGTAACATATTTTGACACCCCTGTCTCTGGAGAGCCCCGAAAAATATGCAGTACATGGTGCAATCGGCTTTTAATGGAGTTGTTTCCAAAAAAGGGAAAGAGGAAATCCTAGACAGTGCAAATATTTGAGTTTGGGCTCTGCTATGCTTAAAAATGCTGCTGGTTGACAAATTCCTCCGGCAGTTCTTGGTAGGCAAGCTACTCGGTGTACTTTTACCATATTTGCAGAGCTCGTCTTGGTTGCAACAAATCATTAATTAGACTTAGCAGTGGTACCAAGTAATCCGGGCCATGGGAACAGCACAAGCGTGATCATTATTCCCGCACATCACTGCGGAACTTGTGCAGCTGCTAGCTCAACCCCCCGGTACACCTCTGCCCACTGGGGAAACACTTGTCTACATCAAACATCAACACCTTCCATTGTCAAGCACTTGGGCAATAATTCCGCTTAAACAGATAAACGAGCGCTCGAATCAAAAAACAATTGAATGCGCCCACAATGTGAAAGTGGTGTAGAGCACGGCCTGAAAAATCGAAATCTCTACCCAGCCCAACCTTTGGACAAACTTAATAAGCTTATCACCCCCGAAATGCAACCCTGCTGGGCAAGAACTTTCAGCTCGCCGAGCTCTGATTGGTGGAAGCTTGGAAACTTCGGCGCCGCCCCTTTGGCTGTATCTTTTGATGTGGCACCGCCATTGCAGGATGGCATACTTCCACCCCTCGGCGCACTATTCTTATCAGACAGGTCCTGTGGAAGTTCCAGGCATTCGCTTCCCGGCAGTCACAGAGTTCGCAACACGGCGCGTTTCGGTGTAGAGTGCGCGGTACCGTTGCATCTATAGGGATTACTGGGTGTTGGCCACTGGCAATTACTGTGTCCATTGGATGTGGAATGTGAGTGTGGAAATGTTTACTGCTTAGGTGATGTGCAATTCGAAAGTGTACTGTAGTGAACCGTTTCGTAGAAGTTGAGAAATTATCGGATTTATTATACCAAAGTCTAGTCAGAGGATTATTGCTTACTCCTGAGTGTTTTGGTAAGCTATTATTATTACTTTTTAAATAGAAATTTATCGTTTGCGTGGTAGTAAATGCATAAATATACAAATGCACACGCACTAGAATATTAATAAAATTTATAAAATGTATCTACTCTATTGAACAATCTTTGATCATTAATCCGTTTAATGATTTTGCACTTCATATTTGGAATGCTGTATTGTGCGATTGCTCTTCGCTTCCTTTAAATATATTTATTGAATCATAAATGTAATCTTAAATTGTAACACGTCATTTATATCTTATCTTCTTCTTTATGTTTACCAACTTCATTGTAAATGACATTCACATCCATGTAAATGATACATTTTATATCTATTACACACTAAATCCTATCTTATCTTATCGAAATGTGTTGAACATGTTTATTACCGATACCAGCAACTGAATAAGTTTAACGACAGGAAGTAACACCCTGAAATATAAAATACTCTTTCACAGAGAGGCAAAAGTCAAGGACCAGCAACACGCGTTTCACTTGTCCAGCTTGCTGCCCCCCTCCGGAATCTCGAGCCTTGTGGCACGTGCTGGGCACGCGTCGCCAATCAGCGGATCGGAAGTGTTAGCTTTACCGTTATGCACTTAGCTGGCAATTAGGCAGACAACAGAAGCGCAACAGATTTACCAACTGCGGGCCCTCTGCTTCCCCAACCATGTTTTCCATGGACAACTTCGACTTGGAGGCCACGATGGCGCGCCATTTCTTCGAGGGATCACAGGCCACCAACGCCTCCACCTCCAGCTCCGACTACTTCTTCGGGGACGAGCACAGCTCGGAGAGCGATGACGAGGACGATGCCTATAGCAGTGGATTCAACAGCGACCAGGAGAACACCGAGAAGACGTAAGTATGACGCTAGTTTGCGCCCTGGAGCCTCTTTAATCCACTACAGCTTCCCCCCATTCAGCCGGAGAAGCCACAAGCCCCGTCGCTTGAAGTGCGCCTCCCAAATGGCCCAGCAGCGACAGGCGGCCAATCTCCGCGAGCGCCGCCGGATGCAGAGCATCAACGAGGCGTTCGAGGGTCTGCGCACCCACATTCCCACGCTGCCCTACGAGAAGCGGCTGAGCAAGGTAATGTGAATAAGATTATTAGGATTATCAGAAAGAGATATCTAAAGTCCAATCCTAAAGTCGTCTATCCCTGATGTGGAACATCGCATAGTGTTTACAGATAAAACTCGAATTTGTAATGGCACATCC